AAAAAACATTTCCCTGGGGCCAGTGCTATGGCATAGCAGTTGAGGCCATTGCCTGTAGTGCCAGCATCCCATATGGGCAACAGTTCGAGACCTGGCCACTCCACTTCCGATCTGGCTCTCTGCTATGGTCTGGGAAAGCAGCGGAAGATGGCCCAAGTCCTTGGGCCCCTGCATCCATGTGGGAGACCAGAAGAAGTTCCTGGCTTTGGATGAGCTCAGCTCCAGCTGTTGAGGCCATCTGAAGAGTGAATCAGCGGATGGAAGACCTCTCTCTGTGTGTCTCTACCTCTCCCTATAACTCTTTCAAATAAATAAAAATAAATCTCTTTAAAAAATTTTTTTTGACGGGCAGAGTGGACAGTGAGAGAGAGAAAGGTCTTCCTTTTCTGTAGGTTCACCCCCCAGTGGCTGCTGCGGCCAGCACACCGCACTGATCCGAAGCCAGGAGCCAGGTGCTTCTCCTGGTCTCCCATGCGGGTGAAGGGCCCAAGGACTTGGGCCATCCTCCACTGCCCTCCAGGGCCACAGCAGAGAGCTGGACTGGAAGAGGGATAGAATCCGGCGCTCCGATCGGAGCTAGAACCTGGTGTGCCGGTGCCACAGGTGGAGGATTAGCCTATTGGGCTGTGGTGCTGACCAAAATAAATCTTTTTTTAAAAGATTATTTTCTTTTTTTAAAAAAAGATTTATTTGAAAATCAGATTTTACACAGAGAGAAGAGAGGCAAAGGGGGGGGTATTCCATCCAAGGGTTCACTCCCCAATTGGCCGCAATGCCTGGACTGCACTGATCCGAAGCCAGGAGCCAGGAGCTTCCTCCGGGTCTCCCACGCGGGTGCAGGGGCCCAATGAGTTGGGCCATCTTCTACTGCTATCCCAGGCCATAGCAAAGAGCTGGATCAAAAGAGGAGCAGCTGGGACTAGAACTGGTGTCCATATGGGATGCTGGCATTTCAGGCCAGGGTGTTAACCCGCTGAGCCACAGCGCTGGCCCCCTAAAAATAAATCTTAAAAAAAAAAATCCCCCAGAGCGAAAGGTGGGTAGCTTTCTGGGGGAGCCACCATCCATTGAGAAGCTCTCCAGAATGCCCTCCATATGGATGCCAAGACCTATTTGATTTTCCATGTGGCTGAGTACATCACATGCCCATGGCTGAGGCTGGTGGACGGCTGAGGTCCTCCCACGCAATGGCAGGTGTTAACCCCACAGCCTCCAGCTCCCTCTATGGTTGCCCCACATGTGGTATCCTCATCCCCTGCCTGCACCACCTCTCACTGCAGGGAACCATAAAGACTGCTTCAATTACTCTTCCAAGAATTCAACCTGGGTCTCCCATGTGAGTGGCAGAGATCCAACTACTTGAGCCAGCACCTGCTGTCTCCCAGGAATGCACATTAGCAGGATGCTGGAATTGGGAGCAGGGCCAGGTACTCAAACTCAAGACATTCTGATATAGGATGTGCCCTAAGTGGTGCCTTAGCCACTGTGCCACATGTCAGCTCCTCAATTACTCTTACCTGAGGTAGTTTCTTCCCTCCCCCAACCTGCCACACTGCATTGTGCCAGTAAGAGGTCTCTCCATCTCATGCCCCTGGCCTCCTAACCAGAGATATCTTAGAGGAATGAATCCTACAGTTAACCCTCCTTAGCTCCTCCTTGGTCCCTCAGCTCCTAGTTTGAAATGATTCACCAGCAGCACAACCAGCTTCTGGCCTCTCCAGTTAGAACCAGAAATAGCCCCTTGGGGCCAGTGCTGTGGCACAGCAGTGCCATCATCCATATGAGCGCCAGTTTGAGTCCCAGCTGCTCCACTTCTGATCCAGCTCTCTGCTATGGCCTAAGAAAGCAGTGGAAGATGGCTCAAGTCCTTGGACTCCGGCATCTGTGTGGGAAACCTGGAAGAAACGGCTGGCTCCAGATCAGTGGAGCTCTAGCCATTGCGGCCATCTGGGGAGTGAACCAGCAGATGGAAGACCTCTCTGCCTCTCTATAGCTCTGCCTTTCAAATAAATAAATCTTAAAAAAAAAAAAAGAAAGAAAGAGGCCCCTTCCTCTTCCTGAACTCCCCACATCTCACCCAGCTCTCTGCTCTACCTGCAAGTTCTCACTACTTCCATGGCTACCATCTTAGATTTGGGCACTGGTACCATGGCTTCTGGCCAGATGTAGCTCTTCCCCTACACAGGCTATTTTATAAACAGCAGCCAAGGAATCATTTAAAAAACGTTACGTAGATGCCACTTCTCTGCTCAGAACTCTTGGATGGCTTCCAAAACATTTAGAACAGAACACACATTCTTTACCATGGTCTACAAGGAAGGTCTTATGGGTCACACTCCCCTAATTCTCAGGGGGTACCAGCACCGAGACTTCTATTCCTATGACACAGAGCTCATGTTCTAGCTGTCCTGACCCCTTTTGCTTCCCTTAGATTTTCCTGTGTCTCATTACCTCATTTCAGCTACCTGCTTTTCTTTGGCCTGCTAAAACAAATACCACAGATTGGGTGGCCTTTAAGCCACAGAAATTTATTTCTCAGTCTGTAGGCTGGGAAGTCCAACATCAAGGCAAATCCAGCACCTGGTTTTGATTCACAGTTGCTGCCATCTCACATGGTGGAGGGTCAGGGAGGTCACCAATCCCATTCAGGAGGACTCCATCCTCATGACCTAGCCCCCTGCAAAGGCCCCACTTCCTAATAGCACGTGGTGACTGGCTTCCAGCTTGGGGGAAGAGACCATTGCACAGCTTAAAGTCACCTGCCCCAAGGTCTTTTCTGACCCCCACCCCTCACAGGCTCTCTCACTGCTTCACTTTCGCGTTGGCTGGTCATCTACCCTCACTCAAATATACGCTGGAAGAGAAGAGTGAGCTTGTCTTGCTCCAAGCTGCATCCTCAGTGTCTGGCACATATTCAATAAATACTTTTGGATAAGATTCTGCCAGCAGAGTGCCAGATGTGAATGATGTTCCAAACATTACTCTGCCAACCTCAAACCCGATGGTGTTTTTCACCTGAATTCTCAGGTGAGAAAAAAAGGGAGAATGAATTCAAGCTCTAAGCCCTGGTAATAACAGAATTTTAAAAATGGAGGTACTGGGGCTGACATTAACAGAGTGCCTGGCACTAGGCTGAGTGTGTTACACGGTACCGCATTAAAGCCAAGCTCTGCGAGCAGGTGTGATGAGTGCCCAGCTCACAACAGAACACGGTAACCCCCAGGCACCAGCTGCTGCTCAGGACGAGGTGTGCTGGGAGAGCGGGAGAGCAGGCTGGCTCCACAGCTCTTCCCTCCCTTCACCTCTTTCAGTGGAGCAGCAGCAGGCGGTCCTAGCGCCATTTGTGCCTCTTAATTTTATAGGCAGCAGCTTGCCAAGACCAAAAACATGCATCATTCAATATTTACATCAGGGCTGTTAGTCACATTGCCCACTCTCCACTTAAATGCACTGCATTAATTTTACAGGGAACTGTGCGGCAGGGAGAACACTGACCAGACCAAAGTGAGCTTGTTTAAAATACCACCCCTCTCCCTTTCTAATTCAAATGTAACAGAAAAGGAAAAGGCTGTGACTTAACCTAATTTAGTTGTTGGAGAAAGGAGCATTTAAAATGCATTTTAGATCCCACTTCGAAGCACTATCATTTAATACCATTTAACTACGTGGCAACATACACCACATCTAACTCTAACCCTACCAGCAAATTCTGCAGTGAAATTCCCTCAGCATAAATAGGAATCTAAGCAAACACACATACTTTGCTCATGAGTTTCATGAAAACCTTTCGCCTTGCTCTCCCCAACTGGCATGGGAGACGCTTTCTATAAATACTGGAGGCCTTCTAAAATTTTTGCTGAAGTCAAGATTCTTTTCAAAATGGCAAAATTTCCTAGCTAGGTTTGACTGCAACATCCCTCCACTCCTCTCCCAAGTGGCTTAGCAACAGCTGCCCGGTTCTAGCGCTCCTCACTGTGGCTGATTCCACACGACGGCAGAGGCTGCCTAATTCCTGGGGAAGCGCACTCAAACTTAGGGACTCCAGAGATGCTGGGAGAAGCCTGTGGACCTTTCTATCCCAGGGCCCCAAATCCCTGCAAGTCAAGAACACGTTAACTGGGTCCTTGGCCAATTATAAACAGCCTAGAAAAACTAAAATTTTATCATCAAATCTTCCTTATTGCTTTCTAATTCTACTCTCCAACAACCAAGAAAGCAGTGTTTTGTTTTGCTTTTCTTTTGTTTTACTTTTTTTTTTTTTTTTTTTTTTAAGGCTTTAGGGCTCTGAGGGCCCAGGGCACAGGGAAACTGAGCTGTTAACTTTCCAGGTGGCGAACAAACGCACTTTCAAGGCAGAGGCCCCCAGACAGGCTGCAGCCCTAAGGGAAGGGCGCCTGCATTCCTTTAGGTGCTCAAAACCGCTCAGAACCCCCAGAGCACTGCGCTACAGGGGAAAACTTCAGGGCAAGGACAAGGCCTAAGTTTGGAGAAAAAAAGCAGCCGGAAGCTTGCCAAAGAGCGAGTACGCAGTTCTCCCACGTGGGCCGCAGTTAGCGGAGACAGGGCGGAAGCATGAGTCCCGGAGGGCGCGAGTCTATGATCTAGCTGATCTAGCTGCTCCCGGCGCCCTGCCACCCCGGCCACCTGCTAGCTGCAGCCAGCGCGCCTCCGGGAAGGGACGAGGAGCTCGGGCAGGTTGTCCGCGTGGGCGCAGTACCTGTGCACCCGCCGACCCCCAACCAAAGGACTTGCCCACTCCGGGCGGGGTGCAGAGATGCGGGTGCAGAAGACTCCACAGATTCGGGGGTTGGTTGGCCGGGATACCCTTTCCTCCCCCGCCCCCCCGGGGCCCCTAGGTCGCGGCGCCGCGCCCAGCCTTTCCCCACCCACCGCAGCGGAGGCACAGAGCCAGGGCGCACGGCCCAGGGCGCGCTCCCCCGGGCAGCGGCGAGAGGGCACCGGGCAGGGCGGGCCGCAGCCGCCGGGACCGCTATCCTCACCTTCACGGCGGCGGTGGTGGCGGCACCTGAGGCCATGTCTGCGCGGGGCAGGAGGCTGCTGCGAGCAGGCTGCAGCGCGCGGCGCGGAGTCCCGGGGCCGCCTGGCTCCGCCTCTTCCTCCCCGCCACCGCTGGATTGGCTGCCGGCTCCCTCGGGCCACCCCTCCTCAATTCCACTTTCCCGCGACCAGACCCGGGGGCTGACCGCGGTTCTCCGAAGTTTCAGGCTTTTCGCCCCCGGTTATAACAAACGGGCTCATGATAACGGTGACGGTGGAGTCGTTCAGCGAGCGATAGTACTGCTCCACATCCTTGGTGCGCACTTTAATGAGCTCACTTAACTTTCACAAAACCCCGACCTTGATCAGCGGTGTTCCCCGCCCCGCCCGGCGTGAGCCGCGGTCCAGGAGGCCGACTGCATTCCAGAGGTTCTCGCGGGAGGGCGACTTCTCGCCCGGAGGCGGGGGCGGGGCCCCGAAGGGGCGGGGCCGGGTGGGCCCTCGGAGGGGCGGGGCTTGCCCTTCCCACAACCGCAAACCAACCAGGGCTTTGCTCATTTCCCTTAACTGCTGCAGGGCGGAGCCTGGGTGAAGTTGCCCCCAGACTCTGGGGTGGCAAAGGAGAAATTAACCGGGTAACCTCTCTGATTTGCTGGCCTCCTATTTGAAGGGTGGTTTTTAAGGGTATAGAACTCAACTCCCAGCCTGGCTCTACCAGGCCAAGACCATCTTTAACCCTTCCTACGCTAGAGAAGCATCCAACAATACACCTGGATTCAAAAATCCAGATTCGTGTCTGCATCATTCGGCACGGGCAGGATCCCAACTCCACACACACACACACACACACACACACACACACCACCTGCCCTCCACTCGGGTAATTCCTCATCTCAAAGCTCCTATCCTACCTTCCTGGGGTAATTCAAATTACCCTTCCTTAATGGATGCTTTGAGGGAGGAGAAACAAGGGTGGGAGTATGGGTGGGAGGGAGGTGGGGGGAGAGAATCCTCATGTTCCTAAAATCTGTGTATGTTGAATTCCTTAAACAAAATGAAATAATTAAAAATAAAACACTGGGTGGCAGCAGTCTTAACGTGACCCCTGAGATATGGATATACTACAAATTATCCTGGGGTGGGAAGAGTGCCGAGGATGGAGAGCAGTAAAATGTGGAGAAAAAGCATGATCACAATTTCATTAAAAGAAAAAAAAAAACCACTGGCTTTCTTTAGCCACCATGCTGCTCATTTAACCTGTTTAACGAAACAGTGTAGACGTTCCCTTTCTCGTTATTGCTTGCCTTAGGACTAAACTTTCTTTTTTTTTAACTTTTATTTAATGAATATAAATTTCTAAAGTACGGCTTATGGATTACAATGGCTTCCCCCCCATATCGTCTCTCCCACCCGCATCCCTCCCCTTTCCCACTCCCTCTCCCCTTCCATTCACATGAGGATTCATTTTCGATTCTCTTTATATACAGAAGATCAGTTTAGCATACATTAAGTAAAGATTTCAACAGTTTGCTCCCACACAGAAACATAAAGTGAAAAATAATAGATGATTTTTTAAATGATGATGAAATCAGATCAGACCTATTGTCATGTTTAATCCCAGTGAGAGTCAAGTTGGGAATTGATAATTTCTTCTCTCTCTCTTTTTTTTTTTTTTTACAGAAGATCAGTTTAGTATGCATTAAGTAAAGATTTCAACAGTTTGCACCCCCATAGAAACACAAAGTGAAATATACTGTTTGAGTAATCATAGCATTAAGTCTCAATGTACAGCACATTAAGGACAGAGATCCTACATGAGGAGTAAGTGCACAGTGACTCCTGTTGTTGACTTTACAAATTGACACTCCTGTTTATGGCATCAGTAATCTCCCTATGCACCAGTCATGAGTTTCTTAGGACTAAACTTTCTCAAAATATAGTTGTTGTTGTTGTTTTTTCTTTCTGCCACCGTTATGTTTCTTTTAAGTCGTAGAATGAAGTGGAAGAGGGGGAATAACAGGTCAGGGTGCTACTTTGAAAGGGCAGGGGCTTCTAGTCTCCGAGTCTTTCTACTGATTGTTGTACCAGAGAGCAGGAAGCCCAGCGCCCCCAGGGGGCTGGTACTCAGGTGCCTGGGGTTCTGTAGCTGCCACATAAGTAGGGGATCTTGGCCAACATCTGTGCTTTGACATGTCCAGCAAGTCCAGCTTGTACTCAGTACTGCCTCTCTGCCAAAAGTTAGACACCATAAGCAAGTTAGATTTTGTAAGCATAAAAGACCTTTGGGCAGCATGAGCTTGAAACTTGAAGGGGCTACATTGGACTTCTGGACTTTTCCACTGTATCTTGCTGATCAAGGCTCAAGCATTTGATCTTGAACATATGATGTCTGTAAAGAGAAAATTGTCCCTCATTTGGTCTGGTTTTCAGAGTGATGTAATTCACAAGCCATTTCTGGGAAGAAATTAGCATTTCTAGATCAAATTTAAGCAATTTTCTAGCCTCTTCTAAGAAACCAGGCCCCTACCAATCAGCTGATTGTTAGACGCTGTTTTGTTCTTGAGTATGGGAACACGTAGTTCAAGAAAGATTAGTTTACCTCACAAGGGGACTCCAGCAATTTTAATGCATTTTGAGGAAAAAAAATCATACATGCTTAGAAACATGGGAACTATCAATTATAGGTGATTTGAAATTATAGTGGTCATTGCAAGATTCTTCTAACAAAGTAATCTACTTTAGAATATGTATGTTAAAATAAATTTTTCAAAAAGTTAAGAGCATAACATTCAAACACATGTATAGTCAGTCTGTGTCAGAGATGCATTTAATCCAGTGGTAAAGGAATCAGCTGGATGAAAAAGCTTTCAAAGGAAGATATAATAAGCTACATCAGTAAACAGAAAGGGGCATGCTAGAATAAGACTGAAAAGCCAGGTTCAAGATTGACATATTTTATAAGGCAACAAAACTGTGGCTTATTTTATATGAATGGATACTATTTGCACCTCTAAGGGAAACATTTGTAGTTTATCTTGCACAATACCTGACATAAGAATCTGAATGCTGGGGCAGGGTGCTGTGGTGCAGTGGGTTAACGCCCTGGCCTGAAGTGCTGGCATCCCATATGGCGCTGGTTCTAGTCCCAGCTGCTCCTCCTCAATCCAGCTCTCTGCTATGGCCTGGGAAGACAGTGGAAGACGGCCTAAAGTCCTTGGGCTCCTGCACCTGTGTGGGAGACCCGGAAGAAGCTCCTGGCTTCGGATCAGCGCAGCTCTGGCCTTTGCAGCCAATTGGGGAGTGAACCAGCGGATGGAAGACCTCTCTCTCTGTGCCTCTCCTCTCTCTGTGTAAAATCATTTTTTTAAAAAAGAGTCTGAGTGCTAAAGGTGGCGCAGCTCCGGGGGCATCTGCGTGCGTTCCGGCTTCTGGGGCCGGCCTGGGGAGGCGCAGCGGCTGGCGGGCAGGTGCACTGATGCTGAAAGACTATGAACTTGCAGAACTTCTGGAGAGACTACAAAGTTCTGGTGGTTATGGTACCTCTAGTTGGGCTCATCCATTTGGGGTGGCACAGAATCAAAAGTAGCCCCATTTTCCAAGTACCTAACAAGGACAACATTCCTGAGCCAGACAGTCTGGCCCTTGCGAGTCTGCCAAAGGGCCCACCCCAAGGGAAATAGCAAACTTGCCATCTTCAGAAGGTAGCAGCTTTGAATCTGAGCTTGATATTGAAAGAAGAGATGAGAAACACCAGCTGGATTCGAAAGAACTGGCTTCTTGTAACCAGCGTGTCCTTCGTAGGCGTCCATCTTGGAACGTACTTTATTCAGAGGGCTGCAAAACAGTCTGTAAAGTCTCAATCTGGAAGCAAACAGAAGAGCACTGAAGAATGACGTAAAATAAATATGTGGAATCACCAAAAAAAAAAAAAAAAGAGTCTGAGTGCTTATAATTGAGAAACAATAAAATAAAATCTCATCCCTTAGGAAAAGGATTTGCAAACCTTTACAACAAAGAGGCAAACGTTGAGAAGTGTATAGAGTTCAAAAGCTCAGACAATACTAATGGAATGAACATGGCTGTGTTCCAACAAAACTTGTTTATGAACAACAAAATCTGGATTTCATGCAAATACTCACATAGGACAAAATATTCTCATTGATTTCCAGCCACTTAAGATTGTAAAAATTATTCTTAGCTTGTGCCAGACAAAAACAGGGGAGAAACTGGTCTGGCTGAGGTTTTGGGTCATTGTCTGCCACTCAGCGGAGTACTTGAATCAGATAAACCTGCCTGGGTGACCCTTGGGCAGGCTTGTTGGGCAGTGCCTTAGTGCAGCTTCATCTTTGAAAAAGATAGGCCATAATATTTGCCATGTTTTGGATCTTTCTTTCTTAACAAGCTTAGCATAAAAGGAGAATAAAACTAGTCAGTGGTCTCCTGTTTTGATTGATAAGGTGAATCCTTAACAAGACAAGGGGGGATTCTTAAGGGTCTGTCAATGAAAGTAGAATTTTGCCCCATCCTCTGTTCTTATTCTATAAATTCCCCTTTGTCAACCTGTATCTTTGTTTTCCCAAGGGTTATTTTTAAGAAGAACCAAGGCTACCTTAGGACAATTCTGACTGTGAAACTCTACAAATATTTCAAGGACTTTACCCTTTTTGGGTAATCCTTGCTAGATGCTTCCCCTACTTTCAGCTTCAGCCAGTAATGGACTAAAATGATGTCAGCAGTAGCTGTCTGTATCAAGCCTTGGTCAATAGGCCCTCAATATCCCACAATTCCCTTATAGGGAAGAATCTACAATAACTTATAAATCTTTAAGCATGACTAAATTGTTGTTTTTGAAGACTTCTCCAAACCATTCCAGGACCATCAAATATTCAAGAAGTATTTACACAAAGGCAGGAGCTGTACCACTTCAGCCAACTGTATCAGGTTTCTCACTGAGCCCTTACATCTCGGCCCTGGACCAGTGTGTCCATGCTGGGTGGCTACCACATAAAGAGTGCAAGCTGGCTGCTATTTCCCTCATCTGGAGCCATGAAAGCTGGCAAGTTGTCATGGCTAAAGCAACTCTCCTAACTTGCCACCTCCTCATAGGTATCTGAGTGACTTGACTCTTTACAGTACTCCTGTGCCACAGATACAAAGGATAGGAACATTTTGGCCACCATTTTTGTTGGTGGATTAGGATCTGGCATTGGAAGCTTTAGTGAAAAAAGGTAATGTTCTGTTAGAAAGTAGCCACTGTAGAGATAGCAGAACATAGTCAAAATATTTTAAGGAGACAATAAAAAAAACCTGAACAGTAATAACAACAATTATAAATTTTAAAGTGGCTGCATATGCAAATTTCCCACCAGGCAAGCCCATGCCAGCATAAAGACTGCAACGATGTCTGGACTGGTGTAAATTCAAGTTCAAAAATCCTAATGTCATTATTACATGAAATGTAGTATTGGGAAAAAAAGTCAATCTGGAAGACAGACTACAACCTTCATAAAATTGTACCCCAAGAAAATTTTTCACAGGCAATTCTCAAAATGGTGTCTCCTCTGCTTGGGAAGGTGAGGGGTGGGGTGGGTGGGTAAATGTACTTAAAAGGAAATAGTGGGGCTGGCGTTGTGGCATAGCATGTTAAAGTTGCTGCCTGCAGTGCCGGCATCCCATATGGGTGTTGGTTCAAGGCCCAGCTGCTCCACTTCCAAACCAGCTCTCTGCTATGCTTTGGAAAAGCAGTGGAAGACAGCCCAAGTCCTTGGGCCCTGCACCCATGTGGGAGACCTGGAAGAAGCTCCTGGCTCCTGGCTTTGTATTGGCACAGCTCTGGCCGTTTTAGCCAACTGGGGAGTGAACCAGCAGATGGAAGAACTCTCTCTCACTCTCTCTCTCCCCCTCCCTCCCTCCCTTTCTCTCTCCGTGCTTCTCCTTCTCTCTCTCTGTGTAACTCTGATTTTCAAATAAATAAACAAATCTTAAAAAAAAAAAAAGGAAATAGTGGCTGCAAAAGATAGGTAAATATATACCAAACCATCCTTAAGGTAACATTCTGTTAGGAAGTGACATACTAACTTCCTGAAAAATATGTATAGCACACTTAAAGTGGCAATTCCTTATAATGACTTTCAATAAAAAATTCAGTGTTCCATAACAAAATATTCCTTGGCTTCTTTACTTTGTTTGAAGGAAGAACCGCATGCTTTGACATGCAATAATCATGGTCCATTTAGACAGCCTACTATAAAGAGGGTGTGCTCCAGATAGTTGAATTTTTTCCTATTTAATTGTTTTGCTTAACTTCAAACAATTCCACTCCTTTAACTCATCTTCTTCCCTTCCTTCTGTTCTAAGTTCATTTGACCCTAGAAATAGCTTCCATTCCAAATCACCTTGACTCTTCCTCCAAGCTCACTTCAAAGGGTATCTATCCTGTTTTTTCTATTACAGATGACTTAAATTATATATAATTTGGATTTATTAAAGTTGTGCCATTTTTCCACTTTTCCTAGAGTAATGCTACACATTAAGAACATATTCTGGACAGAATGGCCATCTGTTTTGATATCCATCCTGGGATCCCAGAATCCTTGCATCCTGTAAGTAGGTTTTATTGTTTCTGTTATAAGCAAAGTGCAAGCCCTAAGCAAAGTGCAAGCCCTAAACCTGACACCTCCCTTGGTGATGGAGAGAGTATATTAAGTCAGGCTCTGAAGAGACATGATTCTCACTTCCTGTGCTCTGTTTCAAAAAGGATTGAGAAGTTGTAGTTTCTGAGATAGATTTTGATGTCTGACTGCAACAAAATCTGCCCTCCAAGCTGTCAGGATTGGAGCTAAGGGGACAGACCCAGATGATGAGTCCTAGAGTGGCTCCTGCTCTTCGTTTGTCTTTGAGAATTTAAGGCACACCGCGTGTAATGAAGAAAAGTGAAAACATAGGAAGTAACTCTAAGAGCATTACTTTCTTTCAACACCAAATCCATGTGCTGTCCAGAAACCAAAAATCCAAAAATAAATAAATAAAATAAATTGAGAAAGAAGCCATGTGTATTTTCTGAGCATTTGCAAGAGCAGTAACAATGGCTGGTAGTTATTGAGAGCTGTGAATTTTTCATTTAGTCTTCACATGTATTGATGCAGATGCTGTGATAATCCCTGGTTTATAGTCTCTTCTGCTGATTTGCTTCTTTCAAAGCTTCCTTTTCTGTTTGGGTCCTGCAGGTCTTCTCTCTCCTCCTTCATTCTTGTTTAGTTTTAAATGTCCAAAAGTGGTTTAATGTGTTACCTTACCCAGGGATCTGTGAATTTTACAGGATTTAAGCCCTAAACAAAGATAACAAAATTCTAGGTAGAATGTGATGTTGTAGAAAGCACAAGGGTAGTATTACCACTATCATCATATGAGGAACGTGAGCCTCAGAGCATTTAAGATGCCTTCTCAAGTTTGTTTAACTAGGGTAATTGAGGTTCAGACCTAAATCTGTCTTAACTGCAAAATCTAAACTCTTAATTACTATAATATTCTTCCCACCATGTGCTGTGGCTTAAACTAAGTGCTGCAGAGAGAACGACGTGTGATCTATAAACCATCAGTCCCTAAGAAACTACTGATTTGGGGAGAAGAGTCAGAAATAAAAGTTATATATTATAAAACAAAGTGGTAAAAGTGAAGTTAGAGACAGAAAGCGCAGAGCAGGGCACTGTTTCAGGTCTTCCTAGAGAAAGTAACTCCTGAGTTGAGCCGAGGTGTGTGTGTGTGTGTGTGTGTGTGTGAAAGAGAGAGAGAGGGAGGGAGGGAGGGAGGGAGGGAAGTGGGGGAAGGGATGGAGAGGGAATGACTATGAAAGGAACTGAACGGAATTGAGATGCTGGCGATAGTCATTCAAGTAATTAACCATTTGGTTCACTAGGATTAGCAATGAAAATAATTACTGATAAAATTTGATCATTAGGAGGTTGTTGATGACCTTTATCATTCACGCAAAAACTTGTTTCAAAGACAGGAAAAAAAAAGTATAAAGGAAATGCCACAGCCAATGAGAAAGTGTTAAAATGAATTCAGAGTTGTGGCCACTTAGAAACATTAAAAGGAACTCATGATGTAGTAGTGATCGATAACTATCCAAATCAGGCAGCATAATGGAGTAAGAAAGAACTATCAAAGAGTATACCTTGAAATTGTGAGATATATTATAACATGGCTATGAATACACAACCTCTAAGTTTCTGCTGGACACAACAGTTATAAAAAGATCTCAGTGGTCCACAGGGGACAAAAGGAATCGTTCAGGAGCAATTAATTCTCCAGGCCTATATCCTGCTCTAGATCTCTAACCAATATAGCTATATTATGATCATGAATACTCGAAACAGGGTGTTCTGCTCACTCAAATTGTAAATGGATCCCTGTACTTGCTCAGGTCTGGAGTGACTATCAGTCTGCTTTGACTGGGACAGCCCTGGTTTATCCCTGAAAAGTACCAGTTAACATGGGAGTGCAGACATATCTCTCATGATTGCCTTTCCTTTTGATTCTCCTCTAGGACTGGGAATCCTGGACCATAGAGTGATTATATATATATATTTGAAGAATCTCTGTATTATTTTTCTAAATAGCTGTACATTACCACCAACAATGTACAAGGATTTCCTTCTATTCATTTTCTTGCCAACGTTTGTTCTTTCATCTTTTTTATATCTATTTTTTAATAGGTATAAGATGATATTTTATTGTGATTTTAATTTGCATTTCCCAGATAATTGGTGATACTGAACATTTTTTCATATGTTGCTTGACCATTTGTATGTCGTATTTTGAGAAATGTCTATTCAGATTCTTTGACTGCTTTTTAAATTGTTTTTTTTTTTTCTTGCTTTTGAGTTGTTTCAGCTTCTTTTATATTTTGGGTATAAATCCCTTATGAGATCCAAGGCTTGTTGGCATATTCTCCCAACTGGTGGGTTGTCTCTTCATTCTGTTAATTGTTTCCCTTTGTGTGTGAAACCTTTTTAGTTTGATGCAACCCCATTTGGTCATTTTTTATTTTGTTGTCTGTGCTTTTGGGGTCATATCAAGGAAATCATTTTCTGGATCAATGCTTGAAGCTTTTCCTCTGTGTTTTCTTCTAGTAGTTTTGCAGTTAGTCTTAATGTTATTCTTTAGTCCATTTTGGGTCAATATTTGTATATGGTGTGAGGTGAGGGTATAATTTCATTCTTCTGTATGTGGATATCTAGTTTTCCCCAACATTTATTAAGGAGATCATCTTTTTTGCCATTGTGTATTCTTGGCAACTTTGTCAAAAATCTATTTACTACAAATGCATGAGTTTAATCTGGGTTTTCTATCCTGTCCCATTAATCTATGTTTCTATTTTTATGTGAATACTATGATGTTTTTATTACTATAACTTTGTTGTATATTTTGAAGTCAGGTAGTGTGATACCTCCACTTTTATTCATTTTCTTCAAGACTTTTTTGGCTATTCAGTAACTTTTATGGTTTCATATAAATTTTAGGATTTTAAAAATCTGTTTCCATGAAGAATGCTACAGAATTTTTATGGAGATTGCATTGGATTTGTAAATTACTTTGAGTAGTGTGGTTATTTTAGTGATATTAATCCTTCTAATCTATGAACACAGGATATTTTCTATTTATGTGTGTCATCTTAAATTTACTTAATCAAATTTGATAACTTTCAATATATAAATTTTTCATCTCCTTGGTAATATTTATGCTTAAAGGTTTTTCTGGTGCTATTAGAAATAGGAAATTGTTTTCTCAATTTCTTTTCCAAATAGTTTGCTGTCAGTGTATAGAAATGCTCCTTATTGATTTTTATATTAATTTTGTATCCTGCAACATTACAGAATTTGATTATTAGTTCTAATGGTTTTTTGGTGGAAACTTCAGTGTTTTTATGTATAAAATTATGTACCCAGAAAACATCAACAACTTTGCTTCTTCCTTTTATGTTTGAATGCTTTCTATATCTTTATTCTTGTCCAATTGCTCTAGTTAGAACTTCCAGTACTATGTTGAATAGAAGTAGTGAGGGTCAGCATCCTTGTCTTAATCTTGATCTTAAAAGACTGACTTTCAAATTTGTACTGTTGTGGTCATATTAACTATGAGCTTCTTATATGTGGTCTTTATTGTATTGAAAAAATTCCTTCTGTATGAAATTTAATAGGTTTTTATCATTTAAAAGATTTATTTATTTAAAAAGGTTTTTTAATCAAGATTTATTTATTTATTTATTTATTTAAAAAGGGTTATTTAAAAGATTTCTAAAACCTTTTCTACACCTTTGAGATGATGATATGGGTTTTGTCTTCCATTCTGTGAATATGATATCTCACATACTAGCAAACAGAATTCAATATCACATTAAAAAGATCACTGTGATCAAATGAGATTTATTTCTGGGATGCAAGGATGGTTCAACATGTACAAATAAACAACTGTGTTTAGCCAAATGATCAGAAGAGGGAATCTCAATCAATCAGTATTTTGGGGAGAACCAAGGAAAACTTCTCTCAGGAAGTAATATATGTTTGGGATCCTGAAGACCAGTTCTTGTAAAGTGGGCATGGAGAAGAGCAGAAGAGGTAAGTGGCAAATTTAAAGCCAATGAATGTATTTCATGGGGATACAATGCTTCTGTAGTATTGCCAGTTGTTTCAAATGGCTGGATTTTTTTAGTAGCTATGGAGTATCCATGAGTACTGGCGAAGCTGTGACCCAACTGTGAAAATATCTCTTGCAGGCCAAATAGGGCAGAGGTGAGAGAAGGGAAACATGGCATCTCTCAGGGATTCAGGAGCCTCCCCAGGGACCTTGTACCGGATGCAACATTTTGTTACAAACCATCTGGTAATAGTTGCCCCAAATTAAGTGAAAATATTAGACACAAATTTTGCTCCTAAAGAACATACTCCTATTAACCTTGTCCAGCTCTTTATTTAAAGACCTTATGCTTATAATGTATGTAAAGAGGAAACAACAAGCTGTCCTCTCTGTGCTGTAGTGACTGGATTACATCATGTGTACTGTGCCAACCCAGCTTCTTCTTCTCTTGCCTCTCCTTGTCTGTCCTCACCCCATCTCTTTCCCTTCCCCTTTATCCTCTCTCTCTCTCTCTCTCTCTCTCTCTCTCCGGTGGGCCATTATTAAGGCATCACAGTTTTGATACAGCCAAACTAACGTACTCTAGCAACAGATTAAAACAGATTTTCTGAATCTTAATGAAGAATGGGATAGGAGAGGGAGTAGGAGGTGGGATGGTTTGGGGGTGGGAGGGCGAGTATAGGAGGAAGAACTGCTATAATCCAAAAGTTGTACTTATGAAATTTGTATTTATTAAATAAAAGCTTTCTATAAAAAGCAGATTTTCATATGATTTTGTCTGGAAATTCATTTTTACTTTCATGTCACATTGATCACAATATTGTAACCTAGTCAACTTGACTAGACCACGGACCATAGGTGCGTAGTATGGTATATGTCCATTCATTGAATGAATAACTGAGTGAATGACCAGAGGAATGAAGAATAGACACACTAATTAATCTGGTTTTTAGCAAGAGAAAGTGAAAACACACAAAAAAGCTAAGGAACTTAAACAGCAGGGGGCAGTAAAAGTTTGCTTTTTTTTCAAACTTGCAGGCCAACAATGTCTAATGCTTGAGTCCTATTGGCTTCAGATGAGAAAGAGAGAGAGAAGTGCAAAGAAATTATCATTCAAAGGTCAATTCTAAAGTGGTAAGTAAGTTCCTATAGAGTTCGCTTCAATTGCTCCTAAAACATTGCACATGACTTCATGACCCTTTTCTGAAGAAGCCACCACTGTTCTTGCAGCATTGCATACCAACGTCCACCAGATGGTAGTACTTCTCATGAGTCAGGAATACAGAACAATATTTTGGGGGAAAAATAAAGCACACGTAGAGGATAAATATCTTAATTTAAAAACTACAGAAGTAAAATCAATATTAAGTAGAGGATTAAACCTGCTATGTCTCAAGTATCTTAATGAAAGAAAGGTAGAATTTTAACCATGGGCACACTGGTCGGTCTGAAGCAAGGTAATAACTAAAGTGTTTTTAAGTGTCAACTGTAAGACTTAGAAAAGGTGAGGTGTAATTGATGGAAACCATTTGGATTTCACTGTGTACTTTCAGAATGTTCCTTTATCAGATTTTTCAATGATCGATTATTTCACACATGTTAGCCAAGGGAAAGACAATCATTCACAAACACAATGCTTTTAGATTACTGATTAATAGCATTAAATTATTTCCCCAGTTGTCCTTGGCTACATTATTTAAGTGTCAACAAAGGACCTCAAAGTTTCTTCTGTATTATCAGCTCTTCACCTTTTCCAAACACTTAGCTACTTTTGTGGGATATTTATAATCAGATAACAACAGGAACAATGTCTGTAGTTAGAGTACTTGTAGTGTAAAGGAAAATGCAGACTCACTGGTTTTCGAGAGTGACAGCACTTGACCCGAAACTTCAAACACGCCTGTGAAACTTCCATCTGGGTGAAGGAGCAGAAGCCAGTCTAGTACTCAGTTTCCTTTTAGCTCTTTCATTCCTTAGTCATGCAGATAAGTAATGACTGCTTGAACGGGAATAAAAAGCATTCTGCTGTATTTCTATGTATAACAAAAGTTCCCCTGTCTTGGCTTTTTGATTTCCCACATGAAGTACAACTTGGATTTTACTACAATAACAAAGAGCACCAGAAAAAAAAAAAGGGCATATTTGTTTAAATTGCTTTTTGCACCAAAAGAAACTGCTTAATGGGGTTATCACTGGGTCAGACTGCACTCTGTTTTTTTTACTAAGGCTGAAACAAGGGAAGATGAATTCAGGAGAGCTAGGTGACGTGAGAGTCTTTGAACACCATTATTTTCAGAAAATTCTTGGGAAAACTATCTCTGAGCCTTTCTATCTGATAGCAACTGAAAGATATATAAGAAAGGGATTGAAAATATTGAGAAGTGGTAAGCTACTAAGAATTGTCCCTAAGATTTAATGTTATTTTCAAAGAACAACATTACTCCTCATACTAGAAAATAAGGTTTAGAGGCCGGCGCCACCACTCACTAGGCTAATCCTCTGCCTGTGGCGCCGGCACTCTGGGTTCTAGTCTCTGTTTGGGCGCCAGTTCTGTCCCAGTTGCTCCTCTTCCAGTCAAGCTCTCTGCTGTGGCCCGGGAGTGCAGTGGAGGATGGCCCAAGTGCTTGGGCCCTGCACCTGCATGGGAGACCAGGAGGAGGCACCTGGCTCCTGGCTTTGGATCGGCGCAGTGTGCTGGCCGTAGCAACCATTTGAGGGGTAAACCAACGGAAGGAAGACCTTTCTCTCTGTTTCTCTCTCACTGCTTAACTCTGCCTGTCAAAAAAGAAAGAAAGAAAGAAAGAAAGAAAGAAAGAAAGAAAGAAAGAAAGAAAGGAAAGAAGGAAAGAAAGAAGGAAAGAAAGAAAGGAAAGAAGGAAAGAAAGAAGGAAAGAAAGAAAGAAGGAAAGAAAGAAGGAAGGAAAGAAAGAAGGAAAGAAAAAGAAAGAAAGAAAGAAAGAAAGAGAAAGAAAGAAAGAAAGAAAGAAAGAAAGAAAGAAAGAAAGAAAGAAAGAAAGAAAGAAAGAAAGAAAGAAAGAAAGAAAGAAAAATACAGTTTAGAAACATGTATCTGACTCTGGACTATTCGGTGTTGAATCTTGTTATTCTCTGTGCTTCAGTTTCTTCATCTCTAAATTAGAATGATTATGAAGGGTTGGTGTAAGAGTTCAAGTTAATACTTGTAAAACACTTGAATCATGAGAAGTACAATATGTGATGATGATGATGATGATGATGATGATGACAACAGAGTACTGGGTACTGCATTAAGTGCTGAGAATAAAGAGATTGATAAGATACCGTCTCTGCCTCTGGGGAGCTTAAAGTCTCTTAGGAGGAATCAGGTGAATAAACAGAGCAAACTATCAGAGATACAATAGGAAGGTTTTATAGAGTTTGGGGGTTGGGGGGGGTCCAGGTGAGTTTGGTCTGGGTATGTGTGAAGAATGTCTTGAAGATGAGGTGTTGTGCTGATTCATGTTATATGACCATGTGTTAGAAAATAAGAAAAGGGGCAGCTAGGGGCCTTCAAACCTGTGGCTGAAGGTCAGACAGGGGACCACAAGACTAAAGGCACGAAAGTGAGAATCACTGTGGTAAATGTATTGAGCTGCCATTATTGGAGTATGATCAGACTGTGGGGCTTGTCTTTAAGGAGGCAGAGTGAGATGAAGAACTACAGTTGGAGGTCAGAGTCCAGCGTCGCAAAGAGAGATCCATGAACTAAATTGGAAATTAGATAGGCTTCTTTAGGCTCATTCAGCATATTTTAAGAAAATTAAACATTTAAAATTTAAGATATTTTTCTTGGAAAACCGTGGATTCCCAAGATTCCTAGAAAATGTGGAGTGTCTGGCAAAAAAATGGTTCTCTAATTCCAGCACAGTATCAGTGGATGACATCTGCACTGCTGGGCCTGTCCCATACCTCTTCCCTTCCTATTCAATCCTTACCTTCCCTCTCAACACAGTAGTGAACATTGGAGTTGCTGATCTTTATCATTCTGAAGAATTCTTACTTTATTCCAGCATGGAAGTGCTTTAAGCAAGAGATTCTACTATGATCTAATTACATTTTTGTGTAGAGGATAGATGTAAGAAAAGGATGATAAATCATTTTCTACTTTTAAGGAAAGCAATGACTGGTCACATTCAACGGCAATTGAGTGTCATTGAATTTTCCTCTTAGAATTTATTACAAAACAGAATTTAACATTGTAAGCTTTAATATAACAAAATAATGTTATAAAGAAGTGATTGGTCTTGCAGTCAACATTTTGTTATTTTTAAAAGTATGCAAAAAGTCTAAAGTTTTAGAGGAAAACTCACCCTAATTTAAAGCAACTCCTTTACATTTCACAGCCCCCTTAGAATCGATAATGAAGAAATAATGGGAGACAGGGCTGTTTCAAAACAACAGTTACCAAGAGGTGGCCAAATATTTTAAGTAGAGTGCATTTTGCTATCTAAAACTAGTTCTTACTAGTGGAGACAACCTCTCATCTCTAGATAACATGATTTTCTGGAGAAATGGCATATAACTTAAGTTGAAGTGATAGCTAAAAATAAACCCAGGGCTTTTTTGGCATGTAGTTCAGACTTCTGGAGGTTAGTGGAGGAAGAGCAGGAGCAGCTGTGCTCAGACAAGAATGAAGAATGATACAGATGTTCATGAAGCATCTCATAAGCACTTCCTTTTGGTCTAGGGAGTGGGGGTCAGGTAAGGTAACCATGAAAACAGAGATGAACTAATCATATAGTTATGCTCTGGCTTTTTATTTAAAACAAATGGATTGGTTCCTAGCTGGAGATTTATGCCAGATGTATTAGTCAGGATTCTCTAGAAAAACAGAACCAATAGAGAGAGAGAGAGAGAGAGAGAGAGAGTGTGTGTGTGTGTATAGACACATATACATACATACATGTACAGGCACACACACACACACACATATATATATATATTTAACCATAGAGTTGCAGGGAGATTTGTCTGAAATTTGTGGGGCAAGTCGGAAGTCTGGGGAAGAACTGATTGTGCAATGTTGAGTCTAAAGGCGGTATGAAGCAGAATTCTTTTGAGAAGCAGATGGAGAGACAGAGAGATCTACTTCCCACATGGCTGCAACGGTTAGAGCTGAGCACATCTGAAGCCAGGAGCCAGGAGCGTCTTCCAGGTCTTCCATGTGGATGTAAGGGCCTAAGCATTTGGGCCATCTTCCACTACTTTCCCAGGCTATAGCAAAGATCTGGATTGGAAGTGGAGCAGTGGGTACACAAGCTGGCACCCATACAGGATGCTGGCACTGCAGGCAGAAGCTTAGCCTACTACATCACAGCACCAGCCCCAGAATTCCTTTTTCTTAAGGGACTTCAGTCTTCTCTCTCTCTCTTTTTTTTTTTGGACGGGCAGAGTGGACAGTGAGAGAGAGACAGAGACAGAGAGAAAGGTCTTCCTTTTCCGTAGGTTCACCCCCCAGTGGCCGCTGCGGTCAGCGCACTGCGGCCAGTGCACGGCGCTGATCTGAAGCCAGGAGCCAGGTGCTTCTCCTGTTCTCCCATGCAGGTGCAGGGCCCAAGGACCTCAGGCCATCCACTGCACTCCCGGGCCACAGCAGAGAGCTGAACAGGAAGAGGAGCAACCGAGACAGAATCCGGTGCCCCGACCCGGACTAGAACCCGGTGTGCTGGCTGGCGCCGTAGGTGGAGGATTAGCCTATTGAGCCGCGGCGCCGGCCTTCAGTCTTCTCTTAAGCCTTAAACTGATTTTATATTCATCCACATTATGGAGGTGATCTGCACTATTCAAATACTACAGATTTAAATGTTAATCACATCTCTAAAATAGACATTTGTAATAATCTATATTAGTGTTTGACCAAATTACTGGACACCATATCCTAGCCAACATAAAATATGAAATTAAGCATCACATAAGGTCACAGGCTTGTCGGCATGATATAGATTGGAGAGGAGAGGAAGTTACTGCCTCTGAGCTATCCTCATCTCTGAGAAACCAAATTTCAACTTGTGTGTTCTAATATTCATTTAACAAACGGAGAGTACCAGCTTTGTGCAAAGTTCTTAGCCAATTTTCTGCTTTTAGGGGTCTATTGCTATTGTAAGTCCTTGGAGGAGGTGCACAGATGCAGAAAGAATCCCTGGGAGGCAGCTGAGTATGGTGGAAAGGGCACTGGGTGTGGAGCAAAGAGCACTGGTTTGAGATGTGTGGCCTTAGGCAAGGCTTCACCCTTCAAGACATTCATACATCATGTTGAGTCTATTTTACCAAAAATCACAAACTCTCTGAGCCTTATTACATTTATCTATAATATGAGCATGATAATAATAACTGACCAGCATATAATGATAAAAATCATGTAACATTCTCTGATATAAGTTATGAATAACTGTTCTTTTTCTTCTTTTACCCACTCATACTGCTGGGTAAGTGAACTATGAGAAACTGAATTAGAGGCAGAAAGAGACATAGGGCACCTGGCATGAGCACTTGGTACAGTCCACTGGCAGCATGACAAACTGGTCGTAGAAGCCAGATCTGTGAAGCAGATGAGGCTTCATATTTATCTATGGGTTGGTGATAATGAGGAGCTGTGCCTGAAATCTAGAATCATTATAGAATGCTATAAAAGGATTGACTGATTCTCATGTGTTTTAGTTTCTTAGGTTATGCTTACCATTTACTGTTTTAAGCCTTGAATTTTAAGCAGTATACTTAAATTGCAAAATTCTACTCAGAACCCATTATTCTGTGTTTCACAGCAAAATAGCCACTGGGTTCTAATATTAGACAAGTTAAAATATATGCACTTCAATATATACTTTATGTAACTTCTCTGAATTTTGTTATTTGAGAACAGAAAACTCAAAGTTGCTT